ACAGCGGCCAACACCAATACACCCAGTACCGAGATCAACAGATTATGTAACTGTCGTAAGAAATCTGAATGCCCCTTAGACGGAAATTGTTTACAATCGACCTTGGTTTACCAAGCTAATATCAGACGGCAAGACAACAACAAGTGTGAAACATATGTGGGACAGGAAATGAATTTAAAACCCGGTACAGAAACCACACTGCATCGCTACGCAACCAATCATTGAGAAACGCAACAGAGCTCAATAAATACACTTGGTCATTAAAAGACAATAACATCGATTACGACATCAAATGGAGAGTGTTATCGCATGCTGCACCATACAATACTTCAAGCAAACGTTGCAACTTATGTATTAGAGAGAAATATATTATAATTTTCCAACCACATTACTGTAGTTTAAATAAAAGAAATGAGCTTTTTTCTTCCTGTAGACACAGAGCCAAATCGTTGCTATGCAACAACTAGTTTTAATATCGTAAACACACTCCATTGTTATGCAAATCTGTAGCGCTTATAACGTAGTCTGTTTTGGTGGTTTATTTAATAAAGTCTTAACTCCTAATGAGTGAGGTACTCCATGTACCTTACAAAACAGTACTTTAGAGTGAACTTTACTCATGTAGTCGTGTCTTAATTTCTCTGTTCACGTATGTATATAGATATATAAGTACTACATGTGGACCTCTCTCAGATTTGTTCATTTCGTGATGATATCTTCAAATCTCTAATTTTGGTGAATATTTTTGTAATTCTGTCTGATCGCTTAGATACTATACATATAGGTACCTCAGGTAAATCTCCCTCCGATTTGTTCATTTTGTAATGATATCTAATTTTGGTAAAAAGTGATATTTTAGAATTCTTGCTCAAAACAGCAAGTTCGATTGCTTTGATACTATACATATTGTTCATTTTCTAATGATATCTTCAGTTCTTTAATTGAAATGTGTCTTGCTAACAGCGGAGCTATCTCAGCCGACATTAATTTTAAATTAGTTTTCTAATTTCAGCCTGTCAAAATTGTCCAGCATATTGACGGTGGCATGTCTGTCATTATTTGTTATAGCTAAGAAACACCATGATAGCATAACTATTATAACCTTGCTCATTGAGGATCTAGATAATGATCCTGTGTTTGATTGGCAAAAGTGAGTATAAAAGTCCTGAAACAATGCAATAAAGTATCTGAACATTTCGCACAAAAAATCAGTGGCTAAAATTTAGGTGTGACTAAAAATAGACAAGAAAAATATAAAGTCATCATAATTACATTAAAAAAAATCCTCAAATAATCCTCGGGGGCGGACATCCGGGCATTTTCACCGCCTGGCAACCGGAGGCGGTGAAAACAAAGGCCCAAAACTCGCAGAAAACGGTATTTTGGGATGATTGTTGAGACTCCTCTGAACAGTGTAACAAGATTAGCCTTACGTGTGTAACATATATAAATTTGGTTGTTCAGGATTACTTCAAAGTTGAGTTTGTGTTGTTTTCTCGAATTTTCACCGGCTCGACCGGCGTTCCACAGCAGCGCGCACAGAGCCCATAGAAATGCATGGTACAGTGGTGCGCGTCGTAGCAACGTGGAACGTCCGTGACGTAGCTCCGCCCCCGAGGATACTACATATATAACGAAATGCTGAATTGTTGGAGTTATAAACATTGAGTTATAAAAATGACCACACATAATTCAGAAACACGGGAGTCAAAAACCACGCCCACTATTGAGAAACCACGCCCAAACTGTAACTCTATGTTCAATTAACAGTTAACCAAACTTTAAGTTACAGGCAACATAGAATTTTTGTTTCGTTTAATGTTGTATATTTCCCATAATTCAATGTTCGGTTTAATAACTGATAATAAACATTCAAGTTACTAAACTTGATCATGTTTGTTACTCGATGTCTGTAACTTGAACAACTCAAGATCTCATATATAATATTAATTAATTTGTATTAAAATTCCCAAATAATAGTGCCGTAATAAATATTAAGTTTATAAAGCAAAATAAAATACTAGCCAGATTTGAAAAAGGCTTATTATTTTTTTAATTTATACTCATAATAAAAACAATACATCTGCTTACTACAATTATCTTATTGATAGATCTTGGAGACCATATTACTAATATCTGATTCTCATGATCAGCAGTATATATTAAATGTCTTCATTCTGTCCACTTAAATCTACCGGTACATCTAATAAATATTTCATTTCAGCCAAATTTTACCCCATATTATGAAAATAGCACTTGCTAGTTACACCAGAATGAACTTCGTTGATTCCTAAATTTGACCTTCAACATTAGTGCAAATAACTATTTACACTCATGCTACAGAGTACATGATTAGAAACATTCAAAGCAATTACAGCACATTCCCTAGCAATGTTGATAATAATAAACTTATACTGCAGTGTAGCTTCATTTACATTATTAAATATTACCATTCAAAGATCACTGAAATAGTGTACTGTAAAATACTTTATTTTTGCTTGCAATTAATTTTTACTGAAGGAATGATTCAGTGAAAATAAAAACCAGTGAATATACCTTTTTTTATATATTTTATATTCAACTTGTCAAAAATCAGTGAAAATAAATTTCCTACAAAACACCCAAAAAGTCTTTTCAGCGAAAATTAATTCCAGCTAAAATAAAGTATTTTACAGTAAATTATACCTGTGCAGACATCCAGTCGGTTTCATTATCACTGTGTATTGATGCCAGCTCACCACCTTGAGAATTACAGAACTCTCGTGCTTCAGTCCAACTCGATTCATCAGTACCAGATAGATCACTGTAGTAGTAACACATGCCGTTATATTCTAACCAATCTGTACCTGTGTTGTCTTCATGGCAGTAATTTGGTGGAGGAGGTGGAGTTGGCGTTGTTAATTCAACACCTTAGACACAAAATATATATAATATTATAATTTCAAATGTTTTTATGAATGATTTTTTCTCAATATTTTCTCAGCTAGGTCTATTATAAAAACTAAAAATCACGTTTTAGAATTTATTGGCATCTACAGTACGTGTATGCACATTTAACTGGGCATGATTGGTGCCAGGATAGCGTATTAATTTGATGGAAATATGACGGGAAACAATCACACAATTGTGTCATATAGTCGTATAAATGAAAGGTTTTATTAACACCAGCACTTGCAAATCAAACATAAACAAGGCGCAGTCTGCCAATAATTTACAAAACAGAGATAGGATGATACAAAATAATTCCTTGCAGCAGCAAGCTGTATGAAATGTTGATGGAAATAAATTTAATACATTGCAACAACACAAATACTAATAATTTGGTTACAATGCTAACAAGCATGCAAAAGCCAAAAAAATAACAAAACTAGCAAGCTACATCTATAATTGTTTCAGTGCCAGAGAAAATCATTTCAAAAAATACCAGCTGCCCATAAATAAATAAACTACTTCTTTTCTTTTTTTCATTCTTTGCTATTTTAGTGCTTCCATTTTGCTACTTCCTCAGTTTTTTTGTCTTTATTGTAATTTTCTTTTTCCGAGTCAATATCCAAATAAGGATATGATTATGCAATAAAGATTATTATTATTATTATTGAAGGCATGGATTTGATGTAGGAGATATGTATAATAACACAATTAAAAATAGCACATCAAACAAAAATCCTGTTTGAGAAGTGGGAACCATCTTATCCATGCAGAGTTTTGTTTTTTACTAAAAATTACAAATATATTGATTTTCACAAAAATAAAAAAATGTTGAATTAATACCATGTTTTTGTTTACTTCAGACATTTTTTAAATGTTCACTTACAAAATATAGGTTTTACTAAATGGAACATGAAGAACTTGTAATTTGTAATATGTATTTGTTTTATCTAGAACCTTTATTTAATATCTGAGACACATTGTTTTAGCTAATATAAAAATCAAGTGTTCAGAAAGGTAAAAAACGCTTATTTGAAAGCAGTTTATGCCACATATAATCAGTGGATTACTATTTGTACAGGTCAACTGAGTTGGCATAAATCCACAAAGTACATTGTATGTGTGTACACTTGTTGAATGACCTCATTATTTATGCAAATGATATGCAATGCATACATTTTAATAATATATATCATACATTATACATTGAAATGCATTTTATAAGATATGTAGTTAGGATAAGTACAAAAAGTAATTTTTTTTCAAAAAAAATTCAGTGGTCATCTTTTGGTGACTGTCATTTAGTGGCAATTTAAATTCTTATTGTAGGAGCCATCCTTTTGTGACCATATTTTAGAGACCATCTTTTAGTGGCCACCATTTTCCCTCCACTGTGTGGCTACCATTTAGTTGCCATCAGAGAGAGTCAACAAATGGTTGTGTCTGTGATGCTGTACATGTACATATAGATGCATGTATCATCTTGAAATATTACTATAAAATGATGTAACAAGTAGGTTATATAAGCAATGAATAGTTAATGCATCAAAATTTAGTTAGCATTTATTTACCTTTTGCAACCTTACACACCCAAGAGTTTTTTGCAAGGTCACAATTCTGAGTGTCCCAGCCATTGTAGTAAGAGTTGTATGTTTGCCAATAGTAGCTAACACAATCACTGGTACCATCATAATCATAAGGTGGTGAACCATATACCCAATTAGTGTATGTTACTGTTGAACCATCACTCCATTGATAAGCTGAAATGATAAGTAGTTATCACACTTATCATAGCATGTCATTACCAAAAAACCAGATGCATAATATGGACCTGATTGACAAACATACCCACGTGCATAATATATACCTGATTGACCAACATACCCACATGCATAATATAGACCTGATTGACCAACATATCCACATGCATAATATGGACCTGATTCACCAACATACCCACGTGCATAATATGGACCTCATTCACCAACATACCCATGTGCATAATATGAACCTGATTGACCAAAATACCACGGTGTTCAAATTACCCACGTGCATAATATGGACCTGATAGACCTAAATACCAAGGTGTTCAAATTACCCAGGTGCATAATATGGACATGATTGACCAACATACCCAGGTGCATAATATGGATCTGATTGACTAAAATACCACGGTGTTCAAATTACCCACGTGCATAATATGGACATGATTGACCAACATAACCAGGTGCATAATATGGATCTGATTGACTAAAATACCCAGGTGTTCAAATCAACCAGGTGCATAATATGGACCTGATTGACTAAAATACCACGGTGTTCAAATTACCCACGTGCATAATATGGACATGATTGACCAACATAACCAGGTGCATAATATGGATCTGATTGACTAAAATACCCAGGTGTTCAAATCAACCAGGTGCATAATATGGACCTGATTGACTAAAATACCCAGGTGTTCAAATTAACCAGGTGCATAATATGGACCTGATTGACCAAAATACCTAGATGCATAATATGGACCTGATTGACCAAAATACCCAGGTGTTCAAATTAACCAGGTGCATAATCTGGATCTGATTGACCAAAATACCCAGGTATTCAAATTAACCAGGTGTATAATATGGACCTGATTGACCAAAATACCCTGGTGTTCAAATTACCCACATGCATAATATGGACCTGATTGACTAAAATATCCAGGTGTTCAAATTAACCAGGTGCATAATATGGACCTGATTGACCAAAATACCCAGGTGTTCAAATTAACCAGGTGCATATTATGGACCTGATTGACCAACATACCCAGGTGTTCAAATTACCCAGGTGCATAATATGAACCTGATTGACCAGAATACCCAGGTGTTCAAATTACCCAGGTGCATAATATGGACCTGATCAACCAAAATACCCAGGTGTTCAAATTAACCAGGTGCATAATATGGACCTGATCGACCAAAATATCTAGGTGCATAATATGGACCTGATTGACCAAAATACCCGAGTGTTCAAATTAACCAGGTGCATAATATGGACCTGATTGACCAAAATACCTATGTGCATAATATGGACCTGATCGATCAAAATACCCAGGTGTTCAAATTAACCAGATGCATAATATGGACCTGATTAACCAAAATACCCAGGTGTTCAAATTACCCAGGTGCATAATATGGTCCTGATTGACCAAAATACCCAGGTGCTCAAATTACCCAGGTGCATAATATAGACCTGATTGACCAAAATACCCAGGCTTTTTAAATTACCCAGGTGCATAATATAGACCTGATTGACCAAATACCCAGGTGTTCAAAATACCTAGGTGCATAATATAGACCTGATTGACCAAAATACCCAGGTTTTTTAAATTACCCAGGTGCATAATATGGACCTGATTGACCAAAATACCCTGGTGTTCAAATTACCCAGGTGCATAATATGGTCCTGATTGACCAAAATACCTAGGTGCATAATATAGATCTGATTGACCAAAATATCAGAGTGTTCAAATTACCCAGGTGCATAATATGGACCTGATTGACTAAAATTACCAGTGTTCAAATTATCAAGGTATATAATGTGAGACTGATTGACCGAAATACCCAGCTGGCTGTTCAAATTACTCAAAATATTGCCCTGTCAGCTCAAAATACCTAAATACTGAATTCTACCTAAATTCATAGTTGTAGACCTGTATTCACATATACCTAAGCTTTTAGATGATGTACAGGTTGTTATACTGTTATAGTAGCATACTTACAGTAATTAACTTTTAAAGAATGTCTGAAGAAATTTTAGCATTAAAATGGCCACCATTCGGGCATCTTGAATAGAATATTTTAACAGATAACAGATATGAATGGTATGAAAATGGATCAGTAGGTCATGTGTACAGTACACTTACTTCCTTCTTGGTCTATATCATTTAAACCATACCAATATGTCTCATAACTGAAATAAAATACATTTTAAACTTCAAGGGGTTCATGAGTAAGTAAAACATGACAAACTTATAATTTCCCAATCCCAATCCATCACAAAATAGCTGGTACTGTAAAACCTGTATTAGAAGCCGCATCTCTAATAGAAGTCGCACCCATTCTTTTTGAAAAACTGAGAACCAAAAATTCACCATTTCTCATATGTGCATCCTCTAGCTCTGGTATACTGTACCATTTTTAATAGAAGCTGTGGCTTCTAATACAGACTTTACAGTACTGCCTCTAAGTATTATGTATTAATAGTTATATAGTTAAGAATGCTATAAGGTTATTACGAAGATACCTCAATATGCACGAAGACAGTACAGCGGCATGCAGTATCGACCGACGCGCAGCGGAGGTCGATGCGACAGCGTACTGTCTGAGTGCATACTTTGAGGTATCTTTGTAATAACCTTATTATTATACATGCCGAAATCCAAAAAGTTTAGAACAGAATCAGCGAACTTATTTGTGTGGAGTCCGGTCAAATCCTGGTGGCAGCCATGTTTGTTTTTATTATTATAGGACGCTTACGCACGTAATTATTCCATATTTGGAATTCGCACTTCCTAATATGGTAGTATGAAAATAACCCGTAAAATACCGCAAAATTACGGCACGCTGTAACTTATGGCGTTACGGTGACAGATGTATAATAATAATTTATATGATATCAGAACAAATTGAACAAATGTGATAGAGGTCCACCTAAGGTATCCATATATGAAGCATAGTACATGTGTTAAATTTGTTTTCAGTATAAATTTGGTTAATTGCTGCACATATATAGATTTGCCTGTTCAGTTTTCTCTGTTGTAGCCATCAGTATATAGCGCCACCTAGTGCCAGCAGATTCTCAGTCTGATTCAGTATTCTTGTTTTTCTGGCTGTCTTATATTTTTCAACCTTCCAACATCTTCCCCATTTTCTTGTAATTTTATTTTCCCACACCCCTTTTCTGAATTGTAAAACTTTTAACAGATTTGTGAATTTAGTCAGTTTCAGTAATTACTTACTGCCCTGTTGTAGTCTAGGGTACTTTGAGGCCTATGTTCAGGCCTAGTTTTGTATTAAAGTACCTCCTTTCTGCTAAACAATTTGTGTGTGTGTGTGTGTGTGTGTAATTCAGTTATCCATTTTTCTAGCATATTGTAACACTTAAATATATTGAGCTATCTCAAATGAAGATAATTGATGACACCCAAACAAATACGATACATGTCCATATCAAATATAAAAGCAATCAGGTTAATTGTTCTCAAGAAGTCAAAAGACTAACTGTTGACAGATAGATGAATTGATGGGCGATGATTGTCAGTCACCTGTATGAACATATCTTCGATGAAATTGAAGAGAAAAGTTATTGTTCAAGGGATTTAGAAGATTTTCAAATAATAACTCACTACTTATTTGTCTGCTGAATAACTTGCTGTTCTTCTGCCTGACTGTGAAAACTGGCTAAGTCAGCACCCATGCCACGACAAAATGATCTTGCACCATACCAGTTAAGTTTCTCTTCATATACTCGTGAGTAGGCCT